AAAATTTTTTTTGAAAAATTTATAATCTATTTCTCTTCTCAACGAGAAAAAAAAAATATAAAAAAAATGATAGCTCGAACGTTACACGGTTTATATTTTAATTGAGAGTATCCCTAGATCTGGACACGTGAATTCTCCTTTCGAATATCTATAGATTGAAAAAAAATTGTTGGATACTTTTAAATAAATTTTTGCAGAATTATAAAATTATTTTATTAATTAGAAAAATATTGAATTAATAATTCAATAATTGCAAAAATAATGAATTAGAAAAATTATTTTAGATATTTAGAACATTAATAATATTTATCGAGCGAGGAGAACGGATCCAAAGGAGATTATCTCGCTCTCGAAGTACGTTTGTGTAATTAAACCAAAGCGAACAGAATTAAAAACAAACCGCCAATATACGTACGTACGTACGTACGTACGCAGATAAACATTCGTTCGCGATTCGTAGCAGACGCGTCTCGAAATCTCCTTTCATTCCCGTTTTCCCTTTCAACGACCCAAGTCACGTCTCGAGCGAGGACGGTAGCGGCGATCGTCGAATCTTCCCGATTAGATTCGCGATCCGCAGAAAGGACAGAAGCGGATCGTTTATCGGTGGGCTCATTAATTACGCCGGGGATTCCAGTCCGGGGAGGACAAGCTTTTATCTGCTCGAAATAATAATTTACAGCATCGCGGCTCCGCTTAATCCCGGCGCGGCTTGTCACCGGTCGCCGTTTTAATATATACGAGGATGCTGAACGAATAGAAGCTTTTTTCTTTTTTTTTCTTTTTTCGAACGTCCTCGAAGCTTGACAAATATTGACACAAGAATCTCGAGGGAGGGTTTCCCGAAAGATCTCTTTCCCGAAATTTTTGATTAATCGCGGGATCTTCGAATCGCGCGCAGATCTCGATGAGATCGATCGGGCAATTTTAACGCCCGAGGGAATTGTGAATCGTGACAATAATTGAATAATATTCCTAAGAGAATTCCTCGCACGATAATTATAATTTTTCAAGTGAAATTAATAATATTTTAAAATCGCAAGCATTCGTATTCCAAAGTAAATCCACTGCAAAAAGAAAAGTTCTCTCTTCAATGCGAAATCCTCAACCCCTTTACATGATTATTTCAAAAAGAAAAAGGAGGCGGAAAAAAGAAACACGGAATTTTACACGCTACGAAGAATCATCCCCAGAATAAGGAATAAAACTGCGGGGTTCAAGGATCGAGGATGAAGACGCGTGGATTCCGATTCGAGCGGCACGTGAGAAATCCTCTCGGGGGGCTCGTGTCCATATCTCGGACCCCGTACGAGCAAAGAAGAGGGGCCGAAAAGAAAGCAGTTCGCCAGGATTCGAGGCAGGAAAGAACCCGCGCAAAAGAAAAAGAAACGTGTATGAAAGAAAGAAAAAGAGAGATTCGCGTTAAAGGACTGGAAAACCTATGCAAAAAAGAGAGAGAAAGAGAGAGAGAGAGAGAGAGAGAGAGAGGATCCACGTGGTCGAAGGATGAAGCGAGTGTGCGAACGCGCGGCGAGTGGTCCGTCGCGCTTCATAAAAGATTTCCGACTCTTTGTGGCGGTTTCGGGTACGGATCCGTTTAGGCCACGCTTAGAATAACGCGGCAACTCGCATTGTGCAATAATGTATCGCATATGGCGCGTCTTGTAAAACTCTGCGGGCGTCCACCGTGCCCCGTGGAAGGACGGGTGGAAAAGGCCGGTGAATGAGGTTATTCCCGGTCGTGGAGCACGTTTCATTCATTCATCCATCGGTGGGCCAGCCCTCGTGGGGAGGCGGTGAAGACAGGCCCGGCCAACAAGGAATCGCCGAAACATCCTTGCTTCCCGGCCCCACTCACCTGGGGAGACGAGAGAATTTTTATCCTCGGTGTGTGAACATCTCGCCGGGTTTCTTCACGCTTTTGCCGAGGTGTTTGGACCTGGCGAAGATGTATGAGACCCTAAGGGGGCTAATGGGGTTAACGATGCTGAAAGCTTGGTTTTCTGGCTAGTTGCGTTCTGGATGATGGGTTCGTTGGGTCGTTCGATCGTGTAGATGGATTGGGAAATGGTATGAAAAATTTTGAGGAGATGTAGCTGAGCAAACAAATAATTGAATAAATGATAAAAAATATATACACATATACATATACTGCAAAGAAAATTTTTGGAATCGACGAAGAAACTACTTTTTTAGAGAATTCCTCAAGATCCTCGCATATTCACGAACATTGTGAACATACATGTAAACTCGACGCAACAAAGCCTCGTTGGACAACAAAAGCTCGGAAGAAAGGAAGAAAACAGCGATGCCTCGAAAGCGGGACGTTTTTATGGGTAAAAACGTTGTTGCGCAGGAATTCGAAAGAAGACCAGTCGATTACGCTCGAACGGATCCGATTAGGCGAAAATACGCATGGTTCGCCCGCTGGGCGAAAACCAGACTTACACGCACCAGCCATTGTCCTTGCTTGTGTAGCAGGATTGGTGGGTCCTGTCAATAGGATCAGGAACGATAACAATGTGTCTCGAGTCAAGAGACCCTCGAAGATCCGTGGATTCTCGTCTCGTGGCTAATCCATTAGATTAGGTTTAAGCTTTTGCCAGGGGGGCTCGAGATCCGAATCCCTTCGTCTCGAAGGGCTTTGGCAAACGTTCCATTCGTTGGAACGTTTGGCACCCATTGCGGGGACTGGGTGCCGAATGACTGGCTACTTTCGTCACGAGCCTCGCTCAGTGTCCCTGTGAAGAGGTGTTGACACGGCTTGACGCTAACTCCCGTCGACGTATGAATGGGACTTTGAATCGAGTCTACTTGTCGGCCTCGTTCCGGGGACCCAATATTTTTCTAACTCGATTCGAGGAGCCTGTTCAGTTGGATGTGAAATCGAGGAAGAGGATTAATTTGGTTCGAGGCAGAGGTTTTCGGGCAACGATGTTTTTGCGACGTTTTGTAGGGGTTAAGGAGGAAGATTGGGGAGGGGGTTAATTGGTTTGATGGATCCGTGACATGCGTTGAGAACAATTAACGATGTATTCTCGTATATAATAAGTGGAATTTCACTTTCGAACATCTTGATCGTCGAAACAATTTTTTAATGATCAATTTAGATGTATCTGAATAATTGTATAAAGGAGGAAAAAGAGAGATGAAGCTTTTCTCCTTTTTTGAAAATTAAGAACAAAATGAAAAAAATTTGAGGATACGAAGGATGGAAAAATTTCGTTTCATTGTTGTATACGAATAAGACCGGAATACATAATGCTCCCTTTCTGATACTTCAGAATACCGAACGGACCTAGTCGTGTGTTTCACGGAGAAACAACGAAACTCGTTACGCGGGGGTTCGTTGCTTGCTTTTCCATTATACGCGATATCTGATCGTTATTCCTCATTTTTTTTCGTTTTCCAATTGCCGAGACCGTTGCTCCACGATGCGTGCACGATTTCGCGTGGTCACATCCTCCTTTTGTTTTCCTCATGAATTTCCCCATTCAATTCCATCGATATCTGATGGATCTCTTAAAAAAATCATCGTGCAACTATTGATTCGAAAGGAGAAAAATATCAAAATTTCTCATACCATAATGATCCACACAATTTCCATTTTCAAAATCTGCACACCACTGTCACGATCTAATATAACACAATTTCTGATACTCGAAGAAATCTAAAAAAAAAAAAAAGAAAAGAAAAAAAGAAAACATGTTCAACATTCTTCTCAACAATTTACAATCCCTATTTTTCGTCGAGAAATTTCACGAATCGTCATCATCGTCTCTCCGCACACGTACGTGCGAAGAAAGAAAGAAAGAAAGAAAGAAAGAAAGAAAGAAAGAAAAAGGGACAGAAGAGGAACGGTCGCGCGTATACGTTGTTAAAGTAAAAGTTGTGGATCGCCGAGGCGGCATCGGGGTTATAAGATCGGCCACGTCTCTATCTAGGTTGTTTAGTACGGGCGCTGCTCGGGGGACGTAATATATTTGGGAGGAGGTGGAGAGTGAGATAGGTGGTTTAGGTAGGTAGCCGTGGTGGATGTCGGATAGATAGTCGGCCGGCTTCGGTAATGGAGACTGCAGGGTGCCGCTAATGCAGTAGCGATGTCACGGTGCCCGTTGCATCGGTATATCCCTTCTTCCCTTTCCGCCCTTTTGCTCCTCCGCGGTTTCACCGTGCCTCTCCCTCCCCTCCCCTCCCCCGCACGCACACCTCGGCGATATCAACCGAGTCTCTTCCTCCTCTTGCCGCGTGTGTGCCGCATCGGGTGTGCCCCGTGGATTCCACTTCGAATCCACGTTTCGTGCCGTGGACACTTCCCCTCGGCCGGTGGCTGCCGTTTATCTGAGTGGTCGCCTCACTTTTTTCTTCCTCCTCGCTTCTCCTCCTTCTCCCCCTCCCCCCCCTCCCCGCCTCCCGTCCGATTTAACGGAACCCTATCTACACGGGGACACGGGCGGATATCTGGATATGGGGGAGACGATGGGGAAACATTCCCCATCGCGGATGTGTTTGTATCGTTTAAAACGGAATGGAGAAATGGGCGCCGCCTGCATCCCGCAGTTACGATAATTTCTTGGTTATTTTTGTTATGGCCGCCGCCTCGTCCTCGCGATCCGACGATTTCAACTGTATCCGTTTTTGCACGGATGTCGCCCGATTTCTTCTTAATTGGTCAACTCCTCTTCTATCCCGGAGAGGAGATACGCTCCAAGGAGGAACGCGAAAATTTGGCGGATCGTCGCGTTTTGATTTCTACGATTCTTTGTCAATTGGAGTTTATCATGGATACGATAGTTCGCGTAGCTGGTATGACAGCAGGTTGACAGTATTTACAGGTTACGAGAATCGATTCGAAGTGGAATTTTAAAATTGAATAATATACAGAGAATATTTATTAACTTTGCGTAAAAACGAGTGGAAAATTGAAACAAATTCTTCTCGAATTTTCTTTTCTTTAATTTCCTCCGATCCATGTTCTTTTTTTTCTTCTTTCTTTCCAGGATGTTCGGCAGCATGAAGCGATGCGCCCGCTGCCACGCGGCGATCCTCGCCTCGGAGTTGGTGATGCGGGCCAGGGAACTGGTGTTCCACGTGCGTTGCTTCTCGTGCGCCGCTTGCGCGGTTCCACTGACCAAGGGCGATCACTTCGGGATGAGGGACGGCGCGGTGTTGTGCCGGTTGCACTACGAGATGGGCGCCGAGCTCCACCCCTCCCAGAGCCCTCCGGTCCCGGTTTATCCCCCCGGCCCCCACTACCCCGGCCAACCGTTCCCCTCGCCCGAATTCCTCCACCATCACCATCACCACCCCTCCCACCCACCGCACCCTCACCACTCGATGCACCCGCAACATCCCCACAGCCACGTGAGCCCGGTACCGCTCCAGCCGTCGACGCCGTCCGTCCCGGACGCGGGCTCACCACCCAAGGTACCCTACTTCAATGGCGCCGCCGTCGTCCCGCCGCCTAGACAAAAGGGCAGACCCAGGAAGAGGAAACCGAAGGATCTCGAAGCTATGACCGCCAACATAGGTGAGTACAGATTTGGGGGATTTGGGGGAGGGGTGTTGAAAGTGTTGAGGAGGGATCGCGAGGCACTTGTTCGATGTAACGTGGTATAGAGATATTTCGAGAATGCTTGATGAGAAGAAGAAGGATCGAAGATGTTGGAAAGATATGGATATAATTGTTTAATTCGTGAAAAAAGAAAAGTTTGTGTCGTTACGTTGGGTATATACTTGTGTTCTTCGCGAAGAAGGGTTTGTATTTCAGGGAAATGTTAGCTTAACTCTTAATATTATTATTTTCTCGAAATACATTTTGAGCTGTTGATCGTACGACCGAGACGTTGCCACGATTTCTTGAACATCGTTCTTGCTGCGAAGTGCTTGCTGATTCATTTGCTTTCTCGGTTGCGCGTGCCAGATTTATAAAAAGCGTTGCACGTTGTCGCGCGATGGATTCAAAAAGTTATTTTAGAAAAAAATTCTTCACGCGCGAATTAATATTCTGGCATTCGTGCACGTTTCAGTGATTCGATCGTGGCTCGAAGGTGAAACGTTTCGATAGAACATATGCAAATCGGAATAGAAACACGTTGCACGTGTTATTCTATACTAGAACGTATCACGCAATAATCGTGGCTCGCAATTAGAAAGCACCAGACGTGTAACTCCACCAATTTGCTGTATAGCTACGATTTTTGGACCGTGAATCGCTTCAACGTTTTTTTTTGCTTAATAGGAAAATTACTTTGTTAGCACGGAAGAAAGAGGTGCAAAGTATATCGTTGAACAAAAAAAAAAAAAAAAACAAAAAAATAAATCAATAGCAGGAAAAGTACGCGTATCATCAATAACTCGTTTAATTTAATGAACAACTCTATTGATCTTAAAATGATAAACGAAGACATCTTACTTGCATCTTTGTTTTGAATAATTCTTTCCGATATATATCGAACGTTCAAACTCCTTTCTCTTTTCATTTAACAATGTTCGTTGTAATTTATTCTTTGCCCATTTCCAAAAAATAATGTCAATTCAAATCAAATGTCCTTAAGGCGTTCTCTCTCTCTCTCTCTCTCTCTCTATCTGAAAATTAAAGCAAACCTAATTCCTCCATCTAAACCAAGACTAACTACCAGAAACGTTATCTATTTTCTTTTCATTCTACCTCACCGACATCTCCCCTAATTAACAGCGAGACAAGTTGTCCACCTAACCTCTTCTAATCGCTTCGATATAAACCCACCCCAATTACTCTACTCTTTCCAACCATTTCCTCTTTCATTCATTCGAGACAATTTCAATTTCGCGTCGAAGCAACAATCTCGATCGCGTGCACGAAAATTCTTAATCCTCTGAACGAGACAACTTGTCCATTCCAACCGAACCCATTCTAGTTCAACTTCTCCTACAATCAATCTACAATTAGAATAATTCCATCCATCGATTACATTTCCTCCTTCGTCCACGTTCTAAGAACCAAAAAAAAAAAAAAAAAAAAATCGTTAAAATACACGATAATTAAAACAAATTTCATTTATCATGCAGAAGGAATCATCAATTCCATTATCGTTGAACCCCAACCAATTCCTCTTTCATTCATCTTCTGAGAACGATTTCCAAGAGGTGCCTAGATCAAGGAACAAAACGATTTGAACCGCGTCGTAGCGAGAATCGCGATCGCGTGCACGAAAATTCTTTACAAGGGGTCCATCCTCGGGGGTCGGTCCACACGTAGTACGAGGCGCGCGGTCAGAGATCGCGCACGTAACACGACGACGAATCCTCCTCCTCCTCCTCCTCCTCCTCCTCCTTCGGAGGTGTGTGCCTCTCGTCGCCGTGATTTACGGCCCCGCGTGGGCGCGTGGTGTTTGCCACCGAACCCTGATAAAATTTGTCGCCGCGACATAAATTCACGAATCCAATCCCAACAAAGCGTGTACGTGTCGCGCGTGGGCAGCTCGCCGCGGCAGCTTCCTTCTCCGCCTTCGGAGAACTTAATTTCGATTGTTGACCGACCGTGGGAACAACGGACCGTGGACTAAGACGAAGACGAAGAAGAGGAGGAGGAGGAGGAGGAGGAAGAAGAAGAAGAAGAAGAAGAAGAAGTGGAAGTGGAAGTGGAAGTGGAAGTGGAAGGCGTTCGAGAGTCGCCACCACCGGCCGTGCGCCTTTACCCTGGGACCAGTTCCATCCTCTTTCCTCTCTGCCCTTCATTTTCTTCTCCTTTTTTCTATTCCACTTTTCTTTTTTTTGGGGAGAGGGGGATTCTCGGCCGTTTTCAGTGAAAAAGATCTCTCCAGCTTTGGAAGGTTCGTTCGGACGATGATGCCTCGGACACGCCGGGGACCCACGGATGACTGGGAATTATTTGTTTCGTCGGTTGGCTGGATATCTTTTGGCCGAGAAACGGGCGCGAGAATTTATCGACGGAAATAAAATAATTTGATAGAGGGAAAGATCCTTCCGAAGGTTGGATCTTTTTTGCCTGCACTGGCTCGCACCGGCCCGCTTCTTCTGCAAGGCCAGATTTTCTTCTCTCTCTTTTTAATCGTGCGTGGAACTGTAATAATTTAGAACGACGAGCTAAAATTTATACGAGAATAACCCTTTTTTCTTTTCCGATCTCTAATAAAGCGCGCAAAATTTTCTAAAAACAACTTTGCTTAAAAACAGCATAATATAATATATTCGAAATATCGCAATGAAATAAAAAATTCTACACGCAAGAAGAGCGAATACCACGAATATCTCAAATAATTCCAAATAATTCCAAATCCTCGCGGTAATTAGAAATTCTCTAGATCGTTTCTAAAAGTTTATCAAGTTTCGCGGAAGAAATCCAACGTGGGGAGGGAGAGCAAGAAAAAGGGGGAAAAAAAACGATGGAGATGGCCGTTCATCCTCGACGACGAGGTGAACGGTTTCGCAGATTTCCACGCGATAGAGGATCGATCTCGATCTTATCGATCCGGCATCTGGCCGGACGACTGTCGAGCGTCGCTTTATTCTCCTGTGGACGGCTCGGTCCCGGGGACAGGATAGATATACCGGAATGAGGTATCGTGCCTGCAAACTATTTGCTGCATAGAGTTGTAATTGGCCGTGTATCCACTGGTCTTTCGCATACGCTATCACCCTTCTTGTTTGCACTCGAGGAGCTAATGAGCTGTGATACACATCAAACAGCGCTAGAGTCGCGACCAGCCGCATTGCCGCTTCCGACGGTTCTTCGTATTGCCGACCGAGGCCCCCCGAGCAATTGTTGCCGCGATAACTTTATTCCCCGATCCACGAACCGGATTCCGCCAAATTCCCCTCCCCCACCTTTTATTATCTCACGGATAAATAGATGGAATTATCGAACACGAAGGTTATCGTATAATCGAAGAGCGAAGATAAAAGAATTCGATCGGCGAAGAAATAAGAAACGGAGAGGAATACTCGTGGAGGGGAAGATTATTTAAGAGCATTATATACAACTGACTATATTTTTTACCAAATATATAATTCGAACGGGACTCCACCAAATTTCCTTCCCTTTTATTATCTCACGGATAAATAAATGGAATTATCGAAGATTACGTTATATGTATAATCGAAGAGCGAAAATAAAAGAATTCGATCGGTGAAGAAATAAGAATGGAAACGGAGAGGAATACTAGTCGAGGGGAAGATTATTTAAGAGCATTATATATAACTGATTATATTTTTTAAATATATAATTCGAACCAGACTCCACCAAATTTCCTTATATAAAACTGACTATATTTTTTACCAAATATATAATTCGAACCGGACTCCACCAAATTTCCTTCCCTTTTATTATCTCACGGATAAATAAATGGAATTATCGAAGATTACGTTATATGTATAATCGAAGAGCGAAAATAAAAGAATTCGATCGGTGAAGAAATAAGAATGGAAACGGAGAGGAATACTAGTCGAGGGGAAGATTATTTAAGAGCATTATATATAACTGATTATATTTTTTAAATATATAATTCGAACCAGACTCCACCAAATTTCCTTATATAAAACTGACTATATTTTTTACCAAATATATAATTCGAACTCCACCAAATTTCCTTCCCCCATCTTTTATTATCTCATGGATAAATAAATGAAATTATCGAACACGAAGATTACATTATATCTATAATCGAAGAACGAAGATAAAAGGATTTGATCGGTGAAGAAATAAAAATGGAGACGAGAAAGAATACTTGTGGAGGGGAAGATTATTTAAGAGCATATATATAACTGACTATATTTTTTACCAAATATATAATTCGATCACATTAGAATGAACAATATATACGAAACCCGATACACCGATATACCATTAATCGATCGATCAAAAAAAAAAAAAAAAAAACAAAATAAAAATTTTCCTTCGAAAGAGACAAGACACGTATGTAACATTTCCACGAAGTATCTCTTAAGATATAAAGCGTAACAAGCAAAGTAATAACCCGATTTCCCGATCTCCATCGGCCATCCCGTCCCATCGATCCATTAACATGTTTTCGTTTAACCGCGAGAACAATTACTCCTCGCGCGATAAACGATCTTGGCAAAGTCACGAGCGATATTGACAGCGGTATCGGCGAGACGAACGGCGGCGGTGCCGGTACATAAATCCCCGGGGCCCCGGGGCCCCGGGTCCCAACCCTTGGCCGCGCGGCCAAGCCGTTCCGTCGCGGCGGAAAAAGATCCCCCCGGCCGATAGCGGCCGATACGGGCGGCTTCAAAAAATACCCCGCGACACCGGTGTTTAATTAAGACGCATAATCCGGATGTTGGGGATTTATGTTTCAGATTTGAACGCGGACTACATAGATATGCCCTTCGGTAGGGGGGGGCCGGCTACTCCCGGCATACCTGGTTCCAACAGCCGAACAAAAAGGATGAGAACGAGTTTCAAACACCACCAGTTGAGGACGATGAAGAGTTACTTCGCGATCAATCACAATCCGGACGCGAAGGATCTGAAGCAACTCTCGCAGAAAACTGGCTTGCCAAAAAGGGTGCTGCAGGTAAGCTAGCGATTCGTTTATTTATCGGCGCGTTATTTGTTCCGTCCCACCATTTTTTATCTCCTTGCCTTCTTATAGATCATTTGCTGCGGATGTTTATTCAATATGCAAAAGTAATATAGAAAATACGTATTCGTATTACAAATTTTCATTTGGTATAAATATCTAAAAGTCTTTTTATATATTCAATGTAGGTTTGTTTAGTTACGATTTTTGTAAAAAAAAAAAGAAAGGAAAGAAAAGTTTGTGCTATTTCTTCGGATTCTTTCCCATTTCATCGATCAAAGAATTCTTAAAAAGTTGAACGCTCGAAATATCGGTCGATTGGAGGAAAAACGAGAAAATGAAGGGAGATCGATCGAAGGCGAGATAATGGAAATGGCGCGAAAGGAAAGGTTGAAACGATCCATCGTTGATCGAGGAGCGGGCGAAAGATTCAGGAGGCGTGGAATCGTCTCGATGCGCAATTAAAACGAAATTTACAGGGTCGGCTCGCGGTAAAAGTATTCGCGGCGGGTTGCGCGCAGGCCTCCTCCAATTAGTGCGCGCAGTCAATGACGCATGACGCCCTTCATAGGCCAGCTAAAACTGTCCCCGGGGACCTTTTTCGGGTTACAGCCGTTCCGGACAGATTGTATCGTTGCCGCGCCTCCTCTCGTGTTGTTCGATCCGTGCGCGGTGTCTTTGGAATTTATGCGACCGTGTTACGTTTATTTCGGCGGCGCTCGAAAACGTGGGACACGCGGCGGTAGGTTAAAGATAGAAGAGATTGTTAGTAACGCGAAAAGAGAGACGAAGGAAAATCGTTTGCCCGACGACGTCTACCGACGTCCCCTCTTCCTCCCCGAGATCCCGCGTCTCGATTCGGAGACGAGACGGTGATTCATTTTTTGCGTCGATCGTCCCGTGAAGATAAATAGGCCGATTGTTTTCTCAACATCTCGTCTCGATAGGATCCCTTCGTTTTCCCTTCGCTTCGAACTTTGCGAGTTTTAAGTCGAGTTGGAGATTTTTCCTAGACGGATTTTTTCGCTTCCCGAAGCGAAGAGTTCGATAACTTTCCTGGTAAATCGACGAGTAAATAGATATATATAATTGGAATATAAGTTTTTTTGGATCGTAAATTAGGTGTCGATAACTTCTTAGACTCGAGAAATTATCGTGTAGCAATGTTAACGTTGGAAATTTCTATCGAAAGATATATCACGATTCCTTCGGTATTTAAAATTAAAGAGTACTCGTTTTAATCCAACCTTTATTTATACGTACCGGGATGCACACCATAGAAATAAGAATCGAACTTTCACGATTCTTCACAATTTAACAATAGAATTAAGGATTTAAAACTCCCTTACCAACCAACTTTCACTCTCACTTTCTCTCTCTGAAAATTTTCCTTTCTCCAAATCACCAAATCACCAAAAGCTCGAGGTTTAGCTTTTGTAAAGAAGTCTCGCGACGATGTTCATCCTCGACAGATATCCATCGCGTCGGTGGCCGCGGCAAGGGAGACCTGGGTCCCCATTTTCGAGAGGGCTCGTCGAGATTTTCAGAGGCGTGTAAAAGAGAGAGAGAGAGAGAGAGAGAGAGAGAAAAAGAAAAAAAAAGAGAGAAAGAAAGAAAGAAAAATGGAGAGAAAAACCGCGGTTGGAAGATGGATAGCCGGTGGTTCGATCGTTTTTCCTTCTTTTTCTCCCTTCTCCCCCGGCTGCGGTCGCCTCCTATAAAAATATTCACGCGCGGGCGAGCCGTACGCGCGCTGGAGACGTACGCGGCGCGCTTCTCCCAATTAGTGCGTGCTGCCGGCGGCGCGTTGAGGTAAAAGAACCACGCATGGGCCACGGTGATATTTCCGTCGACGAGGCCTCTGTGGCCTTTCCCCGTAATTATGGCCCTCCGTCAATCCGCCGCTACTCAAAATCCCCGGCCGGCCAAGTTTTGTCGTAACGAGCGCCGCGCTGCCCTCGTTAACCCACTACCGTTAAATTACACGGGCCAAAAATCTATTTCGTGAACCCCGGGGGCGGCCGGGAACCTGTACGAGCCTGTGTTTACCCTCTCGAGCGAACCCCTCCTTGATCGATATCCTCGGATCCCAATGATTCGGATCTCGAAGGATTTTAGTTGCCGTGCAGTCCAGTGGGAGCGATCTAATTGTCGGCTACTGGATAATTTTCGACCCATTCGCTTCTGGTTATTATATACGGGACACGGATTATTTCGCGATTATAGATCGGCGAAATCGTTTCCGCTTGTTTCGTCGACTCGCGGGTTTTTTTTTTTTTTATTTGGACAATTAATCGGATTCGGGAATGGTGGTTTTTCGACGGAAGATTTTTAAAAAGCGTTTATTTAAAAATATATTTTTCTTTTTTGGATAGATTTTTATAATGACAAAAGTCTTCGATACGATGAGTTTATAATATATCGAAGGCAGAAAAAAATCGATCGTCGAAAAGGATCGAGAAAGACTCATCCACCCATCCCTCCTTCTCCAATTTCTTTCAAAATCTCCATCGCGAATCGTCCCGACAAACAAACAAACAAACAAACAAACAAACAAACCGAACTTCTCGATCAATTCTTCACCACCTTCCATCCTCCATTCTCCTCGCTTCCTCGCCCGACCCAAACCCGACCCAACTTTCTCCTCCATCTTTCCCCTCGACTTCTCTATTCTCCAAAGAAGAACGAGACACTCGAAAATGCATCTCTATACACCCGTGAAGCAGCCACTTCACGTGGGATCTATCCAAGAGAGAGAGAGAGAGAGGAGCGGCGGCCGGTGACTCGATGGCGCCGGCACAGCAGCCGGCAGAAGATCTAGAGAAAGAGAAAAGGCCGGGGGGGTCGCCGGGTGGGTTAGGGGAGGAGGCGCGAGAGCCGGCCTATTGTATTCGGTGCGGCGTAGGGTTCTTGGTCGCCATCTTGCTTGATATTGATCGCGAAACGCACGAATACTCGCTCATTCGCCGCGGCTGCGTTCGTCGCCGCTCTCCTCTCGTCTCTCTCTCTCTCTCTCTCTCTCTCTCTCTGCTCTACTCGTTCTATGCACGAGCACACAGACACGAGCGATCGCGCACACAGGTGGGAAACGGCGTGATACACGCGTGCATAGAGGAAGGTTGTGCGCGCGGGAGTGCTCACCGCAGGAAGAGAAATATACGCTCGTACGCTAGTGTCGGCGCGGGTTCGACCGCTCGCGAAGGGGAGGCCCTGCTCGTTGTTGGAAGTTTCTCCGCCGCCGGTTTTCAGTCCGCGGGGGAGGAGACTATCTTGAAAATGGCGACGTCGATGCGAAGCGTGGATCGAGGCCGTCCTTTATCTATCGGGTACACACGAAGGGGGTTGTATGAGAGTGTGGCGTGGCGAAGGCGAAACAGGGGCCTCGAGGCGCTGTGTCGTGCCATTATATATTGTTGCATTGTGTCGAGGATGTGTAGCTATCCTAGCGGGGGCCCCACCTTCACGTGGCGGCCGTGCTTGCATTTAAATTGCGTTCTCCCTCTCCCTCCTCCCCCCCTCCTCTCTCCTCCTTACTGCCCCCTCGATGAAGATATATTGGAGGCGCGCGAGCTTTTTGGCTCCACTCCCGTCCCTCTTCCAACCGCCCCTCCTCCTTTTGTTCCGCGTTTCTTTTCGGATGTCAGGTGCAATGACGCGCGATCGAGAGCCGGCCGTGCAACCGGCCCCTCCCCCCTTCTTCTGGGATTGGTTCCTTTCGTAAAGAGAAGGTGCGTAGAAAAGGAGTTGGGCAGATGGAAATGAAAAGATTTTTTACGGGGTTCGCGCAATGCGTATTTTGTTTTTTCTTTTTTTTTTTGATTTTTCATAGATTTATTAGAATTTTCGTAGAATTTTTATAAGATTTAGTATATATTTTTATATATTTAGTATATTTAGCTTGAATCATGGTTTTTCCCATTTGCAATTTATTAAAAATTGTGTCACAATTAATTAATAATCGAAGAATGCGATCGAAGATTCGAGAATCTAATCGATATTAATTCGACCGATAAATGTTAATGTTAACCATTGACAAAAATGGTGGACTCTTGGATAAAATAATAATCCACTCTGAAGATCGCTGTTTCATTTATCCTAACGTACATTCAATCGTGGTGTCCCCGTGTGTTGGCAGGTCTGGTTCCAGAACGCCCGCGCAAAATGGCGGCGCATGGTGTTGAAGCAGGAGGGGAAGTCGGACAAGTGCGACGGGAGCGTGGACAGCGGTTCCCTTGGCGACCTTGAGCTTTATGGGAACAGCACCGGAAGCGGCGGACCTCCGATGAGCCCTCCATTCATGCTCGGCGGCCCGCACAGCCCCGCGTCCTTGGCGTCCTTGGACTGCGCGTGATCCCCGAAATTCCGTTTCCGGGACAGGCCGATCGAACGATTCGCGATCCACTCATCGATACCCTCTTCGTGGACGAGAACTCGAGGCCACGATGACACGTACGGAAACGAGGTACGACCGCTCGAGTACACGGCCGTCGGTGTCCACGACGGTGCACGAGACGACGTTGTGAATAATTTATTCGTCGAAGTAAGCGACGTTTAGAGAGAGAGAGAGAGAGAGAGAGAGAGAGAGAGAGAGAGAGAGAGAGAAGAGACAATCGAAGGCGACGATATTCGAGGCGATTTTCTCCGCGTCTGAGCATCGTTGAGATTGATTTATCATCTCAACATCGGGTGAAATATTTGTAGAGAGAGAGAGAGAGAGAGAGAGCGCATCCGAAGATAACGTTTTTCCTTCCGTAAGAATGATCGAGCGGCACTCGATCCAGGGAGGAAAATGGAGGCGGCGTACCATAGCGAAGGATCGATTAGCCGATTAGAAAGCGTTGTATTTATTGTAAGACGGGGCGAGGACAGTTTGATCTAGAACAAGTTCTCCGTTCTCTAACCGAATCGTCCGCACGCTTCGATTGCGCACGCACGATTTACACGCGCAGAAATCACGTCACACTCGTTCTATGAAAGTATACACCTCGATGGGTCAACTCCTCGAAGTCGATATAGACTCAAGTCGAAAGCGTTTGTAATTAGTTATCGATGTCTATTTATTATAAGTATATTTTGAGGTAAGCCTAGTTAAGGGTTACGAACTTTACCTGTGCTGTGTGAAAATCCAACGTTTCCATCACGATAGTGGATAGAGGAATACATGAGAAGAGCGTAATATAATATACTTGCGTCTGTTACGTATTATGATTCAAATGATCCCGAATGAATCAATGAATTGCATCGTGTCGTTGTCGTCGTCGCGCGAGCGAATTATCGGACGATGAAATGATTTTATCGATCGAGGATCGATACGAGATCGATTCGATTCGACTCGATCCATCGCGTTATTATCGACGACGAGTCATTGGCTGGGTGGCGTTGAAGCACTAGAGAAGTCATCGTGGTTGTTAATTACAAAAAAAGAAGAAAAAAAAAAAAAAAAAAAAAAAAAAAAAAAAAGAGCGAGCTGGTGGTGGTTCGCGCGAAACGTTGGATTTTAACGTCGAGTAAATACGAGTATATAGTATATAAATAAATAAATATATATTATTTATAAATGAATTCGGGCGCGCGGAGCTTGATTGACAAACGAGTGTGCGAGTGTTGTAATAATAATTATTGCTCAAAAAAGAATAAAGGGGGAAGAAGAAGAAGAAGAAGAAGAAGAAGAAAATTGAATTTGAAGGAAGAAGAATCGCGTTAAGAGTGGATTACAGCTCGTGTTCGCGCCCGATCCGCGAATCCTTGGCGGATAAAAAAAGTTTCACGTAATTGTTGTAAATAAAGGACGTTCCTCGAGTTTCTTAAGGCACCGCTATAGGTTGTAGGGATTCTAATTGCATTCGGTAGCGGTTCTGTGTTAGGCAAGGTAATAATGATGACGACGATTATTATTATTATCACTCCTATTATTATCATTGTAACGAATGGAACGATTGTCTAATTTTACAAGATGATTTTTTCATTGAATATATTTTGACAATATACACGCTGCCTCTCTCGACTTTTTTCATTTGAAAAGGAAACGAAACCTTTCCAAACCTATCCTAACCTATCCTCGTTCCTACCCTCCACGCTTATCCATTCTAAACGATTTTACAATTTTTCATTTTCGATATTGTAAAAATTGAAATTCATCACGATAAAAATTTGAAAGAAGACGCGTGCAATTTGGTTGGAAAAATAAAAATTGCTAACTAAAAATTACTTTTCCGCGAAATCTTGTCTATAAACGTAATTTAAACTATTCGTAAACGAAAACGAACGTTTTCCTTCTTTTTTTCATTTTTTTTTTTTTAACAAGTATATACACGATTTCATGTAACGTGCACAATAATATGGGAAAGGAGGGAAAAGCAGGGAACAGCGAGCCACGAAGCAACGACACCATAGTCTCCCGCTGTTGAACCACGATGCAGGAGATAGGGGCGAGGTTTTACAAGGTTGGCGGCCGATTTAACGACCCTGTTACGCGTAACTAGAGGAGCAACGCGCATCCCGTGAGTGGCGGACATTAAAATTAAAATTACACGTTGCACGCCAATCCGAATTACGCAAGGCTGGATCATCGTTCCGCGCAAATTATCTCGAACAAGCTGAAAGAAATTTCTCGTTAACTTTTGCGCGCAACGAGGATATTTTTTTCTCCTTTTTCTTTATTTTTTTATTTTTTTATTTTTTTTTTTTATTTTTTTTTAATTCACTGACTTTCTAACGGGGGTTTAATGACGGTGTGTTACCGCTACGATGCTCAAAGCCACGGTATATTATAGTTTCTTCTTTTGCTTGTTGCAATTTGAAATTTGTCGGACCATGAAGAAATATTTTTTTATAATACGATTGATGTTTAAATTGATTCAAATTGAAAGAATAAATTTTGAAATGAAACAAAATCTTTTATTCTATTGCCCAAATTTTTAATATTAAATTTCGAAAATGCTTCGATAACAACGATGAAAAAGTGAATTTTTTTGAAATATTTCATACATCGAAGAAATTGAAGTTGGTGTATCATTTTCAACGTGATTCAGACCAGAAATTTTTATTGTTTGTTTTATCGTTAATTTCACAGATTGGTTATGAGATTATTGGAAAGATTATTGCGAAACAATTAGTTGGACGAGTGTAATCAAGTTATGATAATTAAGTCGATCGATGAATGCCTATCATAAAAATAAGTTTTATATCCGAAATGGTCGTTGTTATTGTTGGAATATCCGAAAGGAATATAAAACTTCATATAAAAATGAAGTTAGATTGGATTTTTATGCAAATGTAAAAAATAAAAATTGTGCAATGCAAATTTGTCATTAGTTTTTTTGGTTAATGACAAATAAAAATCGACCAATATCCCTGAAGCACGAGCAAACTTTCGCGTAATTTAAAAACTCAATTAAAAGCGTATTAAAATTAGGAAATTTTAAATACCGCTGTAACTTCGAAGATAATAACTTCTGGACAACGAATGAACGATCATTAGAGGCGCTTAATCTTGCCCTTTAAAACTCTTTTTCGTTTATCGCAATATCACTTCCGAGATGTTGTATAAAGAGAAGAACGATTTTTCATCATAAAATCTAATTAAATCGTATTAAAAATAAGAAAACTTTGAACCGCTATAACTCGGAAGATAATGACTTTCAATCTACGAATCAACGATCATTAGAAGCGCATAACCTTTCTCTTTAAAACGCTTTTTCACTCATCCCGATACGACTTCCGGTTTTCGAGATATCGTCGTGTAAAGAAAAGGATAATTTTTATTCGGTTACTATTTTCATCCTTCTCTCTTACTCGCACCTCTCGCTCGCACTTCGTCTCACTGACCTTTCCCAAAGTCCAGACAAGCGACAGACGCGATTCTTGGAAAAACGTAGTACGCATTTCCACGAAAACACTCGAGTCGCGGGCCCATTCATAATTTTTACATCATCGAAACTTTGAATCCTTGTATCTCGGCAACCGATTGACATATCGGGATGAAACAAAAAGGGACTTCGACGGCATGGTTTCCTCTATTTTCTGACCGTGTTTCAAAGGCAAAATTTTTAAACTCTTTTCACGTGTTTTATAAAGGAAAATTAAAGTTTCATTTGCGATTTTTATGTGAATATAATAATCTGTTTTTATAATATAAAATATGCTAAAAGTCCATGAAAATATTCTTTCTTTAAAATTTTTTTAATATTACTAGAATTTCAATAATTCGAAAGCATTCGTTTCTTCAACGATAGAAGAAAATATTAATTATTCGTGCATCAGGAAGTTACAAGGATAACAGAAACGCAAAAAACTAAGATGTACAATAGGGAAGCGCAACGTGCATGCATTATGCAGCCGTTGAGTAAGCATGCATTAAAATTTCGAGAAAAAGATTATTGATTTGCAGTTTGTAATCGTTAAATACAGAATGTTAGAAAACACACTTGTTACATTTCTATTCAAATCTCATTTCTAAGGGATAGCAAGAAAAACCTTTCCCATTGACACATCAATGAAACACTTTGAACTTAACCAATATCCACTCATATTTAACAATACACTCTCGATATATTCTCTCCTGCAAAGAAACACTTCCCTGTTCGACAGAAATTCGAAAATTCCCACAAACGCCCAATTTCCTCCACCGAAAATATCCCCTTCCCCTCCGTTCCAATGGCACGTATGGGAACGTTTCAAGAATATTCCAAAAATACCGGAAAGCGAGTGCTCGTTTAACAAACGATCCGAGGACACGTTGGACGTTTGCCCACCGTGAACCGGTAAAAGATGTTCGGTGAGAGGGACTCGGCCAGAACTTACGAAGAAGTCACGATACATTTAACGAGCTAAATGAGACGTAGCCGAGCATCGGCACACACCGGTACGAACCACTGTCAACCCGGGTCCCCTTTCGGTGTCGTATACGCTCCCTGGCATCGATCATTCGCGTCTTATCGACATCTTCGAACCGGTCAGAGGACACGCCAGAGGCACACGGGATCGGCCCCAAGGATCTAGGAATCTCTCGTTCGTCCCTCGATCACGGCTGATCGGATACGAGAACGAACGGTCCCCGAATACGAACCGAACGGAGCTTGAGACGCGTGTCCCCTCGTTTCATCGTATCCGTTTTCGAACCGCCGACGAAACCGGCGCGACGCCACGTTCCCATTGTTTCCAACGTGAGAAGAAAATGCGAGAGCCCTTGCCTCGTCCCGAACTCGAACACTCGGCCTCCCCCCCACGCCTCTATTCCGTTAACCTTGGCCCGTCAATGGGTCGCGGTGCAACCAACGGTGCCTTGTAATTCCGACGTCGGCCATCTCGGATTTTGCTTTTTAATTAATACGGCCGGAACGCTCTCTGACGTTTATACCACGTCCCCTTCCTCTTTCCCTCGTCCGTATTAACCGCGTCGAAAATAAATAATATCGGGTAGTCGAGATATTAACGGTTTGTGGTGGTTGTTTCGGCTCGATACAAGGGATTCCTCTCGCTTTCGAAACGATTTGTCGTATGTCGAGGATCGAGCAGGTTTTCGATTAACTTGATGCGGCCGGTTCATGAGAGAAGAACCGCTCGATTTTTTTAAAATACGGGTCCGTGTAGGGGGAATTTGTGAAAACGAGTATCGATGCAAGCTGGTAATGGTAAAATCGAGATTAAAAGGAGATATGTCATATATATATATATATTTGTTCGATCGAAGATTGCTCGTTTATCAGTGATAATAAACATGTTTCTTCGACGTATGATATGGTCGGGAATGTACGAGTAAGTTGCAGGATCGTCCTGTCATTGGAATCTATTAAAAGAGGAGGGGGAGGAGAAAAAGGTGAAGAAGAGCTGCTTTATTAGCTCGTGTACCGTGATTGAAACATGGTTACATGGATCATTTCCATCCTTGTCTCGAGATTTGCATGCACTTTGTCTGGATGAGGGAACCAATTGCAAGTAACAAGTTGCACATGTTTGGATGTAAATTATGCGTAATTATAGGTTAAAGGGGAATAATGATCGTGAATACATGGGATAATATGATAGATAGGCAAAGATACATTTACATGTTACGAATAATTGCTTCGAGGTGTTAAAAGTTCACATAATTTGAACGTCGAATTATCCTGGACTCGATGTTCGATTTTTTTTTTTTATAACGATTGGTTCCACAATTACTGGAATTATAAATATTTAGATTAAAGATTTATTTTTCATCTCAAATTCGTATTATTTATGTACGTAACACATTACCGAATAACTTTTTCAAAATATTACGAAAAAGTATGAAAAGTTCTATCATTCGTTAATTAATTTTTATTCTTACTCTTAAATCCTATTAAATAATTAATTATCCAAAACATACAATTTTATAATTATCGACATACAATTTTTGTTGATTAGACTTATATATTTCATTAGATTTTAAAAAAAAAAAAATTAACGTATAATTCGAGTCTCTACAAATCCATCTCTCAAAACATTATACACAAAACGCGTAATCCTCGGTTCTCATAATAATAATTATACCCGCAAAAAAAAAAAAAAAAAAAAATACCTCAGCAGCGTGAAAGAAAAGATCTCTGAACAAGCCGACTGTCTCCATTCAAAATGAACCTCTTTCACCACCACCACCACGGTTCAACATCCACGCACGTAAATACGACACCCGAAAGAGCCAGCCAACGAAAACTATCGACAATTCCCATTTCAAGTCACTCGTACCTAGCCGCGCCGTTGGTTTGAAGATCCGCAAGGAGGCTCTCGACGACGGCAATTCCAACGACGTGCACTCTACTATTTCCAGTTGCGCCGGTGCGAAACGTAACGAAACGAGGAGAGCCTGCTCCCAATTTATCGAGGCCTTATTTCACCGTAAAAACGAAAATACGAAGCGCGACAACGCGAGTGCAGCCGCGTCTCTCTCTCTTCTTTTTTCCTTTTTCCTTTCTTTTTTTTTTTTTTTTTTTTTTTTTTTTTGTATATAAACCTC